GAATGTCCTTGCCCTCTGTATATCCTGCACGACCTATATTTGATCTAGGTTGACCTCTATGCCACGATGAGTAACAAGATACTCCAAGAATTTGTTCGAGCTTATCCCAAATGCGCACTTCGAAGCATTGAGCTTCAAGTTGTACTTTTGGAGCACGACAAAGGTGACCCCGAGATCCCAAGATGGTTGGCTTTCTCCTTACTTTTTGTCAACATATCATCAATATAAACTTCCATAGTGGCACTGAGTTGTTGTTTAAACATCTTATTCATCAGGCTCTGATATGTAGTGCCGACGTTCTTCAAACCGACCGGCATTACAATGTAGCAATAAATTTTGTGGGATATGATAAATGTCATTTTCTCTTGATCAGATTCGTGTAAAGGGATCTGATGATAACCTGCTCGGGCTCCCATGAAGGTAATTCGTTTATGTCCCGTGGTCACATCAACAAGTTGGTCGACCTTTGGTAATGGGTACTCATCTTTAGTAAATGCCTTTTCCAGATACGTAAATTCCAAACAAAGATTCCACTTTTCGCCTCTATTCTTGGCACAAATTGTGTTGGAAATCCACTCGAGAAATTGAACCTCTCTTATTGATTCAACCCCGAGCAACCGGTCTCTCTTATTGAACCTCGTCAACAACTTGTACTTGAGGCGCCAACCTGCAAGCCTTTTGTTTCATGGGTTTGAAGGTTGGATCAACATGAAGCCGATGACATATTACCTCGGGACTTATCCCCGTCATCTCGACAGGGGTTCATGCAAAGACGTTGGCATTCCGACAAAGAAAGTTTACCATCTCGGACCTCTCGGTGCCCCACAATAATGCTCCTATTAGAAAAAATCTCTCCTCATCCTTGGGATTTAAAAGGGCATTAACTAAAGCCTCCATGGATCGATCAACTGGGTCTGTCATGGGCTCATCAACACCCGGCCGACCGAATTGTAACTGTTATTTGGCCAATACTGCCTCGGGGTCACACTCCTAGGACTTGGCATTAACCCCGATTTTCACCGCCGCGTAAAATAAATTTTTGACGAAGCTTGGTTGCCACAAATTTCGATGACTACCCTTGGTGTAGGGAATTTTATCTTCTGATGATAAGATGAATGCACTGTCTTCATAGCATGTGACCATTTTCTGCCTTTAATGGCATTGTAAGGAGAGTCGAAGTCTATCACTACAAATTCAATTGGGACTATAACAATCCTAGCAGTGACCGTGAGGGTAACCTTCCCAAGGGGAAGGACATAAGAATCGTTGAATCCTACAAGCAGAGTCTTCATGGGCTTCAAGTCTTTTTTTGAGTGAATCCCATCTTGCGAAAAAGGCTGTCGTATTTTATCTCATATGAACTTCCTAAGTCGACCAAGATCCTCTTTACATCGTATTTCTTAATCCAGATAGTGATCACCAAAGCGTCTTCATGCAGAAGGGCCAGCCAAGCAAGATCGGCATCAGAGGAATGAATGGACTCGGCGTCGAGCTGAGGTCTTTGAGATGATTACCCCCCACACCTACTTTCTTCTACCTTCACGGCTTGTGCGACCTTTTGGAGGTCGGCTCGGAGCAAATTATTATTTGGCTTATCAACCGTACAAGTGTGTATCACTTCAATCATAGTTTCCACTTCTCGGGCTATGCCCACTTCCTCCCTTGTCGAGCCCCTGGGAGCCGCACCATCAATGAATTCCCCAAGATGACCTTCTCAGACTAGCTGCTCTAGGAACGACGTGTATACCCTACAGTCATCAGCTAAATGTCCAACGTCCCGAATGTAAGAGCACTGAGAAGTCGAATCCCTGGTGGATGGGTCACCTTGCATCTTGGGTGGCCACTTGAAGAAGGGCTCCTTCTTTATCTTGTAAAGCATTTTGTAAATGGGTTTTTTGAAGACTGTGTTCACCCACAGAAAAGACATGCGGCTTGGGGCTAGTGCCGGTGTCCACCTCTTGGCAGGTGTTTCCTTACCCTACTTTTTCGACGTGGGAGCCTTGGACTCGAGAGCAACATAATTTTCTTCCACCTTTGCATAATTGTTTATACATGACATGAGGTCCTTCATATCCACTAGAGTCTGTTTAATCAAAGATCGATACAAATTAGTGTTATGGAACAGCCTTAGCCAAAATGTTGTTGTTGTCATGGTCTCCGAACATGTCTCAACTTCGTTTATGTCCTCCCAGTATCGGATTGCATACTGCCAAAGGGTCTCCCCACTCCTCCGCTTGAGTGTTAGCAGAGCACCGAGGTCCATTGGCCTTTTGCTATAGGTGATAAATTGAGCAACAAACAACTCAATCATCTACTTCCAAGACCTAACACTTTCAAAAGCCAAGTTCTCATACCATTTCATGGCGGTGTCCCCAAGAATCATGGGGAACACTCAGCACAACAATCTCTGGTCTGTGTCTTAGATGGACATAAGTTGCTTGTACTGCTGTAAATGGCTCTCGGGGTTTGTCCTTTTGTCGTACACCTTGAAGCATGGGACAGTGAACTTCCTCGACATCTCAATCTCCTTGATAGCTCGAACGAACGGTGAGACGATTTGCTCATCCTCCGCGTCCTCATCCTCCCTCCGGAGGGGTTTTGGTGCTTAGCATCCAGGCATAAACGGAGATCCTCTTGGGATCTCTTGTTTCTAAGTCCCCTTAACGTCGAGTCCATGTGGGATTCTGCCACCTCTGCACTCCCCGAGAGTCTATGGCGAAGACCCCCACGGGATAGATCTCGTTTGCGCTTCTTACTTCCTTTGGATATATCCTTAGGGGCACGCCCTTTGTGACTCCAAATTTTGCATTTCTAGCTCGTGCAAGCTTAGCCCCGAGCCTTTTGCCCTGTACTCTAGGAATCACTTCAGTGGATACTCCTATCCCCATGCCTACTACTCCACTAGCTAGTCTCCTCTAACCGCTTGAAATCATCGAGCCTGGTCTACACGTTGGCGTTGTCTTTCTTGAGCTGTTTCAAACGGCCTCCCATCCATTTTTCCATTAACTCTATAATTTCTTGAGCCAAGACGCCTTGTCCCTCAAGGCTCTAGTCCATCGGTAACATTTGCTGCGAGTTACGCTGAATGCCATCCGACTGGTTCAAGGAGCGAGATTTAGTGACTATAGGGAATTAACTAACTTCCACATTTCTCATGCGTAGGTTGCCCCCAACTCACCTTGGGACCGCATGTTCACTATGACACTATTGCTATAGGGAAAACTAGTTCACAAATTTCCCACATACGATGCTAAATTACACGGGTGAATTCCTGCAATGAGTTGAGATAACAATATGTTGAACGATCCTGGATGATAAACCTGAAACAATTAAAAGGACTAGGAAAAGGGGTCAGGAATGTACCTGTCTAATCCCCTCTGAAGCTCAAGTCAGTCGGCGTTAGAGTCATTAGCACAGTTTATTATCTATTTTTAGATTGCGTACCTTAGGCTAGCTTCTTAAGGGGTATTTATACCTTGGTTTACAACGATGGCAGTGCCCTTGAGTCCCATCTTCGAATTTAATGGTTTGCACTCATCCTAGCATAATGAGTGTCATCCCATCAAATCTTCTTAAGACTAGTCTCCTCGGGCGAGTGGACCAATGCTCAGGACCCGCTGAGTATTCATGGCTCAACCCTCGGTTATTATATACCTCTTCTCGGTGCTTGACACTTACGCCTGAGCGTTCACTAGTTGGGAATAAGCACCCTCGAGGTTGACCCAGGACTTCATGTCAGTGTGATAGCCATTAATGCCTCCTAATGATGATTGTCTCCGCACTTTCGAGGATCTAGACACTCATTAATGACCCTGTTACAGCCACTCAATACCCCCATTAATGAGTTGTCAGATATTTTTTTAATGCTATACTCTAAGAGGCGTACTCAGCCCTTTCTAACATAACTTCTCGGTGCCTTTCCCAAGCGTACTTTGCACGCCCTAACGGTTGTAACTGCTCACGTGTCCATTTATTATTGTCAAGCTACCTAAAGTCTCGTCAATTCTATCAAATTATAAGAAAACATATGTGCAAAAAAATTAATGAATTGATGATATTTTGTATAATCTTTTAGCATATTTACTATTATTTATTGGAGAAAAGATTATTTGAAATTTTGGATGACTTGTGTATTTAATGGTAATGAACATATGTGAAATAAATTATGTATTATGTGTTAAACATGTTGTGTTATGGGTTATGTTAAAAAAGTTAAACATCTCATGTTATTTCTGTAAATCTAAAAACGATCATTTTATTAAACGTATTAAATAGGTAAAATTTAGGTAACTCGTACGATGACCAGGTCAAATTAAAAATTTAGGTAACTCGTACGATGACCAGGTCAAATTAATATTTTCACGTCTTGATACAAATATTAAATTGGTCAAATTCGTATTTGAAAATCGACACAAACTGCTAACCAAACACAACACATTTGAAACTCCTAACTGCCCCTGATTGGGTCATAACGTCTTTGGCAGGTTAAATGATGCATGGTACCTATAACCAGACCTAACCCTAGGACTGCTTGAGAGGAAATACTCTATTTATCTATTTCAATCTCAACTGATTCATTAGAGCAACTCCTGTTCAATAAAATAATTATTCAAAATATATTTAAATATTATATTTTTCATTTTAGCTAACAATTTTTTCAAATTCCGTCCAACCATACTCTATTTTTTAGCTACTACTTCAACTAACTTTAACTAATTTTCAATTATATAATTCAAAATTTCAACTCAAAACATGTATAATCATCAACCCAATCAAAATCATACCATAATAATAATTCTAATTAAACTTTAAATAATACAACTTAATGACAATTTAACACTCATCCACTTTAAATAACAAAAATTAATTGTACAATACGTCTCAAATACTTACATTAATATTTTATAGGGGTCTATATTTAAATATTCTATTATACATAAAAACTAAGGGAGTATTCAAAATTTGAGGGAGGTTTCAGAATTTGTTTGGGGGTTCAGAATTTATTTTAGGGGTTTCAGAACCTGGTTTACAGCAGCAGCAGCAACACCCCCATCCACCTCGCCAAAACCTGGTTCACAGAAGCAATAACAAGGATCAGCAACAACTGACGAACAATTTCTCCTCGCTAGATCTAGCGAGCAACTTTGGCTTCCTAGGTTTTGGCGAGATGGATAACTAGGGCATTGGAACTGAATTTGTGAAGATTGCTCGCCAAAACAGCTAAAATGAAGGAGTAGCAATCCTCGTTGGAGATGTTCTTACGTAATAAACATAGCAAAGGTTTTCCAAGTTCGTAGAAGGCTACACTTACAAGTCTCAAGAACAGTGATTGGACCTCCCCAGGTATAAAACCTGAAGTCCTTGCCTATATACAGAGGCAATGCTCTGAGGTACATAAAATAAGGAAGAGTATTGTTATGTTTAAAACCTGAAGTCTTTAGTGCCTCACGAATGTACTAAAGACTTGATTCAAACTCAATAAGAATTGCCCACGAATATCCTAACGACTTGATCTAAACTCGCTAAGAAATGCCCAAAATTAACCCAAGCACTGTTTATTCGAAAAACAAAAATCTAATTAGAAGGTCAATTTGTAAGTAAATAATACCAGTAACTAGACCCAGAAACATATCTGCTATAGGGAGCTCACTATTCAATCAGCCCTATATTTATTTATCGACAGTTCTATAAATGAAATAGAATAATCACAAAGGCAAGAGAATCCTAGAGCACTAAAGTAAACAGGTGAAAACATATTTCTAGATTTCTACTGTGTTTGGGGGATAGCAGCAGGTTCCAAGGCTGATGACCTGATGTCGTACGTAAACATCTTCAAAAACATCAACAAACCTAGAATACCAAATAACATTTACAAAATTCCCAAAAAATAAATAAAGTAAAAAATCAGTTCTAAAATGCAAAAATAACAATCATACATACAACGTTCACATAAAAATTATCCAATCAAATTATCTTCAAATCAACCTTCCCTGCACCTATTACCACACACCCATGTAATTAACAAACAAATCACTATGAAAAGAGAACATGCTGCAAATACAAAGACAAACCTTTCCACCATAACAACCATGAACACAGCAATCCCATGAGTTTTAATTTAAAAGTATGGATATGGATCGATTGGAACGTCAAGAAAAAAAAGACTATAAAAACTAAATCATCATCCTGATGGAAACATATGTCCAGGAGATTCAATTGGACGGACCTCACCTACAAGTACTGAGAGGCTTCAGTCTCCTTCCTTATTCAGACCGATTCGCATACCTTTCAACCTTGGCATCGTTGAGGTTAATACCAACCATTGCCTCACCCAACCCACAGCTCACATCCGCCAGCACCTCCGGATCACTGTAATGCGTCACTGCCTGCACAATCGCGCGAGCCCTCCTCGCTGGATCACCACTCTTGAAAACGCCAGACCCAACAAAAACACCATCGCACCCAAGCTGCATCATCAAAGCGGCATCGGCCGGAGTGGCCACCCCTCCGGCAGCGAAATGCACCACGGGAAGCCTACCCAGCTGCTTCGTCTGCATAACCAAATCGTAGGGCGCCTGAATTTCCTTCGCAAAAGTGAAAACCTCATCGTCGTCCATGTTGCGGAGCACTCGAATATCACCCATCACGGACCTCACGTGACGGACGGCCTCGATGATGTTTCCGGTGCCTGCCTCGCCTTTGGTGCGAATCATGGCCGCGCCTTCACGAATTCTCCTGAGAGCTTCACCAAGGTTTCGGCAACCACAGACAAAGGGGATCCGAAAATTGTGCTTGTTGATGTGGTTTTCATCGTCGGCGGGGGTGAGGACTTCGGACTCGTCGACGTAGTCGATTCCGATGGCTTCGAGGATTTGGGCTTCCACGAAGTGGCCAATCCGGGCCTTGGCCATGACTGGGATAGTGACGGTTTGCTTGATTTCCTTGATGAGCTGTGGGTCCGACATGCGGGCCACGCCTCCTTGGGCCCGTATGTCGGCGGGGACTCGTTCCAGGGCCATGACCGCGCAGGCGCCGGCTTCTTCGGCTATGCGGGCCTGCTCGGCGTTGACGACGTCCATTATAACGCCGCCTCGGAGCATCTGGGCCAAACCAACTTTCACGGAGAAGGTGGATTTCTTTGAGGTCTCGGTGATTGCGCCGTTTCCGTACACTGTTACGACACCGGTTCCAGCCATCTTGATAAAGGGACTGAAGAGAGAGAAGGTTGTGTGTACGTGTGCTGCGTGTGGTGAAACCCTAATGGAAATATGAGAGAGAGAGAGTATTTAATGGAGAAGGGAGATGAAGGGGGGAAGGGGGTGGTGCAGAATCGGCGCTGAGTGGCTGGAAATTCTGCGTCTGTGGATCTCTGGAAATATTTGTAATTTTATATGCATTCATATGGTGGGACGTGGGTATTCATAATCCTTGCTTGGGATGTGGGCCAGGATAAATCTATGCAGGCACACTCAATCAATGGAGTATATACTTTCTTATTTCTAGTGGTTTCTATTAAATAATTAAAACATTAAAATTAAAAAAAAAAGGGAAAAAGAGCAGATATAAAGAGATAAAATATATTTTTATTGAAAACACCACATAAAAATGTTATGACACTATATAATTGAAAATTATTTAACAAATATTAATGGATAAAATTTTTTTTGGATCACAAATATGAAATATTTAAACATTGAAGGGTGTAATTTATAATTAATTCAAACTTGTATAACAACAAAATAAAAGAAAGTTAATCTCAAGTATAATCTCCGGCATGAGGTTGCCAACCAGCGAAAAACCTGTGCGTGGACCTTCATGCAGTTTTGTCACCAGGTATATATATAAACACAACTTTGCATTCTGCGTATGAAATTTAGAAAAAACAAAAAAAAAATCAAGAGGACAGTGGAGAGTTGCTCGTCCAAGCGTGATGGCATACCAGAATTTACATTTTCTGTTCACACGGTGAATATCTTCCTCTCCTTTTTCATCATACGATGACAAATGGGACAAGTACCAGCCTCTTCCATAACCCTGCAGAGATAAACTCCAGAAATTACAAATGAGAGCTTCTAATGCCATCAATTTCATTCATGTCAATTTAACCCCAAACCCCCAAAGAACATAAAATATAAGGGAAAAGGGAAAGAAATTCATTCAAATATGGATTTTGGGACTATCGACACAAAATATGGCCGTCAAATGAACCAAAAAACCTTGAAGCTTATTTCTTAACTCTGACCAGTAGTAAAACCCTGTCCCCCAAGCCAAACCCTAGTTACTGGGGAAACCAATCATTATGCATTACAACCTTTTTGCCCTAGGTTTGATGAGCAAGCAGAAGTAGAATGGACTAACCTTGTTCCACATGTAAAACAGGTAGCACAGTGTCCACATGGAAGAAAGAAGCAGTCCCTTGACGCATCAAAGCATATGACACAAATACGCTGGGGATTCTTAGCGCTTTCTCCTTCTTTTTGTTGCTTCCTGTCCGGAGAAGCCACTCCAATCCACTCATTCAGTTCCTCATCATGCAAGATTGAATCATAAGATGAACCCCAACTTGAAAGATTGTCGTCTTTTGGCGAAAGCAATGGCACCCCGTTCGGATTCCATGTTCCCGGCTTGAAATCTAGGTCCATCTCTCCTGGTCGTCCAGAAAGTGTGAAAGATTTTGAAGACCAACATTATGCCAACGGACATCACACCTGTATGCAAGAGGGGAGCCATTGCAAAGTCAAAATAGAAACTATTCTTCGGCGTAATAAGACTATGAAGGCAAACAAAACAAACCTGATGCAACAAAATATGTGATCCATCGAATACCATAAGACAGTTTGACATACCAGACAGAGTTGGTCATACCCTGAGAACATCGAATCGATTATGGATTCATAGGTAACCAAATTCTTAATAAATGAGATTTGAAATAAAAAAAAAAAGTAGTTTGCATCATCTACGGTAAACTAATCCTACGATTGCGACCTTTAGCTTTTTCTTTGAGACCATTGAGTTTAAAAAGAGATGGCTCAACAAAGAACTCTAGATGTGGATGGTCAGGAAGAATGTGGACTTAACCGACTAACCTAAAAGTATCACTGAAAGCAAGCAAGTTTGGTTGAGTCAATAATCTTGCCACAGATGTGACAGAGGCAAGTGATATTTCTAGCGTTCATCAATCCTAGAACCCAAAGATCATTCTAGGTCTAACTTCTAAGAAACAGATCCACATTCTGATTAATTAAACAAATTTCATAAAAAAATGATCATAACAGTCAGGGATGCCAGAAGTTCTAAATGCACTGACCGAGCTCATACAGAGTCATGAAATCAGTAGGATAACTGAACTTCAGTAAGTTACCCAAAGGGACCAACAAAAATGAAAAACGTAAAAAACCAAAGGAAAAACGCCATAAAGCAATGGAAACTGAGGAAGTAGATGTGACATTCTCTTACCTGTTCTGGACCAGGAGTGGATAGGACAGCAGCATCTGCCCGAGAAAGAAAAAGCTTCATACTGCACAAATGATGACTCAGAGGACATTTATAATAAGCATGGCTCGTATTGTAGACAAAGGCCTTTACCGTGAAATTCAATTGAACCTATACGATCACAATTACATGATATAAGTTAAACAGAAGGCAAGTACAAGAGTATCTATTTGTATACTCTACATCTTAATTAACTTGGAAAAAGCTTTAGAACACAGGATATTATACTAATTCTTTGCAGCAGTTATGAAGTCGATCATCTTTGAACTCCTGTAAATTTACCAGGTGGCCACAACCAAATCACCCCACCTGACCAAACTACACATGTTCTATTTTAGTAATTCCAAACTGCCAAGTGTTCAACGGGCATGACTAAAGCAGCCAACTATGTCAAATCTATTGGGCGAATATAACTTAAGTTGCAACAACACAGGTTCTATCGACAGTAGGGATTCGGATTTCAAATAAGCCATGACATGGTTAATTGGGTGGTTTATTTTACTCAGCAGAAGATTGCTCAGAGAAAATTTTTCCTTCTGAATCTAATCAATAGTGATTTAGATGGCATTAAGAGTGAAAGATGCATCAAGATGATCCAACAGATAAAGGCATTTAAATTAAATGAACAATGAAGAATACAAAGTGCTGCATTCGACTGATTATATGGGTAACTGACAGCACCAAATCACCATGGACATTGGTACTTAACTGATTCAAAGTCTGCTGGAACTTGGAACAACCAATATGGTCATGGAATTATAGATCCAACCATTTCCAAGAGGACATTTATAAACGCTCCAATTTCCAACTGAAGCTAAAAAGTGCTGACAAAAAAGTCCCAATCTAAGAACCAAGAGAAAGAACATTTAAATTTTAAATGAACCGCACCCCTTACGTCTAGAAATTGAGCCTTCACCATGGAGAGAATTCAAAAATTTCTGGAGCTAATATAATTCACTTTTTTGCCATATTTCCACTAACAAACTAAGAATTCTTCCATGATCAAAGCTTTGCCAATTGAAATAATTTCACAGGATTGTAAGATACAAGAATTTTTCATCAAAAAAAATACTAAATAGAAAATGCATTAATCTGCTTACCTCCACCTCCTCGGCGTTCAAGTTACCCAATGCAATAAAATGTGTCAGAGAAGAAAATTTCCGGTTCGATCGTACCATTTCCTGTTAAGAGAAGCAGACAAAATTGATAGAATCCAAGCCACGAGAAACAATAATAACATAACAACAAAAGCAAGTTCCTCATTACCATAAGCGATATTCCAAGACAAAGTTGTATCAGGATATGATGGGTCCTCGATCCACTCAAGAAGGCTTTTTCTACCTGCAGGGATGGTAGCAGGTGAGAAAGAAATAATGTTATTTTTATAATGCATATTTGTTTGCATGATTGACAACTTAGATCTAAATAATCCAATTAGAAATCATGAATTAATCTCCCATATTAGTTACACTAAAACCGGTTTTCCAAGCACATGGTTGCAATAATAGTATCCCAGACAAGAGGTTTAAATGCTAGCGAGAACATAAGCAACTTAGACAGTTTTAACAGATTTCAATACATGGAGTTTGGAAAAAGTTATGCAAACAAAAGAATAATTGAATAATTTTGAACCAATAATAAGCTCAAGCTAAGTGCTTTTTGAACTCTTATATCAATTAAACTCTCCTATATGCCCACTTTGTTGGAATTACAACACCAGCACGTGATGGGTTGACCGAGTTTATTGCTATTTTTCAGTTTAATAATTGTTAGCTTAAGCCGTGAAGTTAGTGGGTCTGTTAGTTATGCGAATTTCCTAGTCTTTTGCAAGTAGTTAAGTGATTGCTTCCAAGTCTCTAGCTGTTAGTGGTTGTAGATTTTGTAGGAGAAGATAAGGCAACGTGACCTCTTTTCATGTCCTTTGTATGCCTATATAAGGCAGTTCATTTGCACCGAATATATCATCTCTCTTAAAAAAAAAAAAACATATTTAGAATGTTGGGAGCTTTTATCCATATTGCCTCTCTCCATTTTTTTTTTTTGGGTTCAACATTGTGGTATCAGAGCTAGGTTGGTCGTGGGACATCATCTACTAGTAATTTGGTGTAAGCTTACTGTCGACACAATGAGCCATCTTCAAGTAGTTGGAAGAATCAAAAAGCTTAACAACCAGAATTACAATACATGGATGACATGTATGTCGTCTTACATGCAAGGCCAAAATCTTTGGGAAGTTGTCAACTGCAGCGAAGTCACAAAACCAGAGGCAGAGAATGCAAATGGTACCTTGTGGAAGTGGAAGATCAAAGCGGGCACAGCATTGTTTGCTTTGAAGAAAACAATCAAAAAAGATGTGTTGGAGCACATCCGGGATGCTGTTACACCAAAAGAAGCCTGGGATATGTTGGTCACACTTTTCTCAAAGAAGAATGACACATGACTGCAACTTCTAGAGAATGAGCTGTTGTCGGTAGCGCAACATGACATGACGATTACACAATACTTTCACAAGGTTAAGTCGATATGCCATGAGATTTCAGAATTGGATCCAACAGCTCCAATTGGGGAAACCAGGATGAAAAGAATTATCATCCGTGGTTTGAGGCCTGAATTCAGAGGCTTCATTGCTGCAGTACAGGGATGGTCAAATCAACTATCACTTGTTGAGTTTGAGAATTTACTAGCGGGTTAAGAAGCCATGGCTAAGCAAATAGGAGGAATTTCATTGAAGGGTGAGGAGGAAGCATTCTACGCCAATAAAAGCAGAGAAAACTCCAAGCAGCGCACTGTTGGTGGATCTAAAAGAAATGCTGACTGGGCAAAAAGTCATCAAGGAGAGGGGAGCTTTCGTTCGGGGGGAGCTTCGAAGAATCATGGCAACAGTAAAAGGTTTGAAGAGCCTCTACAGTGATAACATCTAAACAGATTGATTATGAAAATGATTGGGTTGTTTACTCGGGTTGCTCAAATCATATGACATGTGATAAAGAGAAGTTGCAGAATGTGTCAGAGTACAAGGAAAACCATGTAGTTGTGAAAGCCGACAACTCAAAGTTACCAATAGTTCATATCGGTAAGACGGTAGTTTCTCCAGTTTGTAGTGCTAACCAAATGTCGCTTCAAAATGTCTATCATGTCTCAGGTATGAAGAAAAATCTGCTTTCAGTAGCGCAATTAACATCTTCCGGCCACTTTGTTTTGTTTGGTCCGCAAGATGTGAAGGCGTATCGTAATCTCAAGATTTTAGAAAAGCCAATGATGAAGGGACAAATATTAGAGTCGGTCTATGTGATGTCAGCAGAGTCTACATATGTAAACAAGACCAGGAGGATGAGACAACAGATTTGTGGCACATGCGATTGAGTTAAGTTAGCTACTCCAAGCTAAACATGATGATAAAAAGGTCGATGCTAAAGGGTCTTCCCCAACTTGAAGTGAGAACAGAAACAATCTGTGCAGGATGCCAGTATGGCAAGGTGCATCAACTGCTGTATGAAGAGTCCAAGTTTAAAGCAAAGGAACCATTAGAGTTAATACACTCTGATGTGTTTGGAACTATCAAGCAGCTATCAATTGGTGGGATGAAGTATATGGTGACCTTTATTGATGATTTTTCCAGGCATGTGTGGGTTTATTTTATGAAGGAAAATCTGATACCTTTTCAAAGTTTAAAGAATTCAAGGAGGCAGCTGAAGCAAAAATTGGCAAGAGAGTTTGTTGCCTGCGCACCGATAATGGGGGAGAGTATACCTCAGACGAGTTTTTCAAAGTTTCTCTGGGAATGCCGAATACACCATCAGTTCACGTGCCAACATCCCGCAACAAAACGGTGTGGCAGAAAGGAAGAATAGACATTTTGCAGAAATTTGTCGAAGCATGCTTCATGCAAAGAATGTACCAGAAAGATTTTGGGCAGAAGCAATGAGGACCGCAGCCTATGTGATCAATAGACTTCCTCAACAAAGGTTATGCTTTCTTTCACCCTTTGAAAAATTGTGGAATATGAAACCTACAGTTAGTTATTTTCGAGTTTTCGGATGTGTATGTTATGTATTTATAACTGCTCATTTACATAGCAAGATTGACCAAAAGGCTGTTAGGTGTATCTTTGTGGGATATGACAGTCAAAGAAAAGGGTGGAAATGCTGTGATCCTACAACTGGAAGATGCTACACGTCACGGAATGTGGTGTTTGATGAAACGTATTCATGGTGGTCATCAGAAAAGGAGATATTACCAGATTCTGACCGTTTTAAAGATGAAATGAAACCTGCTCAGATCCAATTAAGTTTAGGTGGAGCTGAAGATTTAGATGTTGATGGTGATTTTGACCAAGGCGTAACCCAAAGTCCTTGGCAAACAGGTGTCCACCAACAACCAAGTGATGAAGGCGAACGTGGAGAAGCAGAAGTACCAACTCCGCAATCTCAAATTAGGAGATCAACAAGAAACCGGAAGCCAAATCCCAAATATGCCAATGCCGCTATAGCAGAAGAGGCAGTAGCAAAAGAACCTGAAACATTTGCGGAAGCATCTCAGAATCCAGAGTGGACTAAAGCTATGAAAGAAGAAATTGCTGCATTAGAACAAAATCAGACTTGCGAGCTTGTGCCAAAGCCAAAAGATGTGAAACCTATTTCCTGCAAACGGGTTTATAAGATAAAGCGTCACACAGATGGATCAATTGAGAGGCACAAAGCTCATCTGGTAGCTCATGAATTTACTCAACAATATGGACTAGACTATGATGAAACGTTTAGTCCAGTAGCCAAGCTTACAACTATGCAAGTCTTATTGATACTTGTAGCTAGCAAAGATTGGAACTTGTGGCAAATGGATGTGAATAATGCATTTTTGCATGGGGAGTTGGATAGGGAGATCTACATGATTCAACCAATGGGATTTCAGAATCAAATCATCCCGAGTATGTGTGCAAGCTAAGGAAGGCACATTACGGATAAAAGCAAGCACCAAGAGCTTGGTATGGTAAGATTGCTGAATTTTTGATTCAAAGTGGTTATTCGGTGACACCTGCAGATACTAGTTTGTTTCTCAAAGCCAATGGAGGAAAGCTAGCTATCGTGCTTGTGCATGTGGATGATTTAATCATAACATGTGATTTTGAAGAAGAAATCCAGTTTAATCTACTTAACTTTAACTAGACCCGATATTTCTTATGCAGTTGGTGTGATGAGTTGGTACATGCAGAATCCAAGAAGCCTCATTTAGAAGTAGTTTGGCGAATTTTGAGATACATGAAGAGTATGCTTGGCTATGGTGTTTTGTATAAGAAAGGTGGAGATTGCAAGCTAGTTGGATATTGTGATGCTGCTGACTAAGTCGGGGATCACGACACCCGATGCTCAACTACAGGATATGTTTTTATGCTTGGATCAGGTGCAATTTCTTGGTGTAGCAAAAGGCAACCAACTGTGTCTCAGTCAACAACAGAAACGGAGTACCGAGCCGCAGCAATGGCAACTTAAGAGAGCACTTGGCTTATACAATTGTTGAAGGATCTGCGTCAACCAACAGATTATGCAATTCCTTTGTATTGCAACAACCAGTCGGCAATACGTTTGGCAGAGAATCGAGTTTTTCACGCAAGAACTAAACATGTGGAAGTGCATTATCATTTTATCAGGGAAAAATTTCTGGAAAAAGATGTTGAACCAAGGCAGATTAAAACAGAGGACCAAGTTGCAGATTTGTTCACAAAAGGTTTGAGCATCAACATGCTTGAGAAGTTTCGTTATCAGATGAGAATGCTTGAAAGAACGAGAGAGCTGGTGTTGAGGGGGAGTGTTGGAATTACAACACCAGTACGTGATGGGTTGATCGAGTTTATTGCTATTTTTCAGTTTAATAATTGTTATCTTAAGTCATGAAGTTAGTGGGTCTGTTAGTTATGCTAATTTCCTAGTCTTTTGCAAGTAGTTAAGTGATTGCTTCCGAGTCTCTAACTATTAGTGGCTGTAGATTTTGTAGAAGAAGATAAGGCAACGTGGCATCTTTTCATGTCCTTTGTATGCCTATATAAGGCAGTTCATTTGCACCGAATATATCATCTCTCTTTAAAAATTAAAAAAAAACATATTTAGAGTGTTCTGAGCTTGTATCCATATGCCTCTCTGCATTTATTTTTTTGTGTTCAACACACTTATGTACCCATGAGAAAGCATTTACTCTGAATGGGTTTTCTAGAACCTTGATTCAAGTGTTCCAACACCGATATGCTCAAATCCATCCAGAAATGGAAGTACCAGTACTATTACTAAATATTTTTTTGATGTAAACAATTACCTTTGGGTATTATAAGAGAAAAAGGGGCAGAGCTGGGGGATTCCACGCTGTATGAAATCTTCACTTTAGACCTTTTGTTGAGAAAATATTGCCACTCCTGCAACAAAACAACCACTTAGTTTGCTTTCTTTCCATCCAGTCACCTAAAAATGATATGTAATTGTAAACTTGGAGTGTAATTGAGAGTTGAAAGTACAAATGAGGAAAAAGATAAAGAGGCAACTTGAGAAATTTTGCCTTGTGATGGCTGGATTCTATTAATGCATTATGAGTCTCTGACCAGGTGATTTTAACATCCAGAGGAGGAGGTTCATTAAATCCATATAGCATTGGCCCATGCTTGGATTCGGATATCTCCTGGGCCTGCTCTTGAAACAACTAAGATTACAACAAGCGAATAGCAGCAATGAAAGAAATGGAAAGCGCAAATCAAAGTAATTGAAAATAACCTTTATTGATTGAAAAAAGAACCGGTTAGCTTGAATTAGGAGCGAGCTATTTGGGACCAACTGTATATTCTCAGATCCACTGAAGGCGAATATAACAGCCATGGATGCTGCCATTGAGGAAATGAACAATCCCCAACCAAAAAGATGAAAAGTGAGAAAAGAAAGATCAACTAAGGCCAAAGAAAGAAATTAATAATTAAGACCCATTATAGAAAGCATACAGCAATGAACTCAGGGATATTCTGTTTCCTATTCTTCAGTTTTCTTGCGAATCAAACTGGGAAACTTCCACGAAATCTATAAATAGTTAAATACTACTTAACGATCGAGACCAAAATTGAGAGGAACGAACCGAAGAACCAGAAAGTGGAGAGCAGAACGAGGCAAGACCAGAAATCTTCTCTCACACTCGTCAACACCACATTGGACCCCAATGCGTTTAGGCCATAAGTTACACCCGGTTGCTGGTGCTCTTGGTTATGGCGCTCATCATCTTGATGATGATCGTTCAGATCTTCTTCGTCGCGGACCTTTGAAGAAGTTGGTGAACCCTGGATCGAAGAAGGACCAAAGACGTTTCCACTCTCATCTCCTTCTCTTTCCATCCTGGCAACAAAGTGAGAGAAACTGAGAGATTTGATCGATTTTTGATGGGTTTGTAATTAAATTAAACCCATAAAAATGGGGAAGAGAGAGAGAGAGATAGCGTGCAGGAATAATAAACAGTTGAGGAATCTTATTAAAGAAAAGCTTTAACTTCAAACGTCATCTCGATGTTTAACCTAAATGAGTTCGATACGAAACGGCCATGGATCGAAGCAATTCAAAGCGGTGGTGAAGATGATTCTGGTGGAAGTCGTGTGGTGGTTTCACCAAACAATCTTCACTGGCTCGCATCGTCTTTTTACCAGCAGCTGCAATGGTGGTGTTCTTACCAAATAATCTTCAATGGGTCTGGGTCGTCTTGTCTTCAACCTCTGATGGTTAGTTGGAAATGGTTAGTAAATGTTTGCTTTATTTGTAATGAGAATTGGTGATTGCTGTGAATCAAAATTCTCCATTTTTGCTTACTTGGTGAAATGTTCAATCACACACCAAAAGAATGATAAGGGTCGGAGAACGGCCATCAGCCGGCCCAACGATGACCCGTCAAGCAAATTAGCTGGACTTTTGGTTCTGCGGCCTAGGGCCATATCCACTACTTGTACTTAAACTATTGCATAAACAATAACGTAATGCTGACTAAATTTTGAGATTAAATTTGAAATTCAAATGATATGATAGTATATTATTTAGAATTTTTACTGAGACGTAAATAATATGACACTAAATAAAGAAGTTCAAATCAACTGCAATGTCAGTTGAGCTCCAAATTTGTTCTTAAAATTTAGTCGATATAGCATTGTTGATTCCGTAAAGAGACTTATTTTACTAGTTAATGTTGAAGTGCATTGCAAGTACATTATTTGTAGTTGTAATTTTTGAACTAATTTTTAAAATCAAATAAAAAAGTAAATTGATAAAATTCACCCACAACAATTCATGTCTAGACTTTTCTTAGTAGACCAAATTCAATACTTGTAGATTAGGATAAAAAAGCAAATTTTTTCATAGTGCCTTTTTTAAGCTCAAAATGAAAAAACCCTTTAGTTAGCCTAAGATGTAAGTTGCGTAAATTTTTAATTAGGGAGGGATTCAAAATAATCTGAATCCCCAATTGTCTATCAAAAAGAACTCGATTACGTGTTTTGTCTCTGTGGCAAAATAAGAACCTTATTTCTAACAAATTTACAAGATATTATATTGGTTAATTCATTCAATTTTGGAGCATTTTAAGGACTACTTTGAAAGCTAAAGGGACACGCCTCATCAAGCTTGTAAAGTGAAAACACATTTTATCATTACTAGTTGTTGTGCAAGTCCAAATGCACATGGGCTATTTTGAGTTTTAAATATATATTTTATTTTCTTAATAATTATAAAAAATTCAGCACAAGGTTGCAAGAGACTGACTAACCATAGCACAAATCATTCCACCGTAACATTAAAAATGCGATAAATTTGAGTCATTTATATAAGTGTGACATTAGAAATAGGGCAAATTTGGGTCCTGTTTCATTAAAAATACTGACTTTAACATTAGAAATACAACAAATTTGAGTAATTCATGTTTCATATAAATATCAAATAATCATACAAACAGTGCAAGACACTAAACAAGCCTAATATTGGGACCAAACAACACATGCAAAAAAAAAGGAAAATATATTCCTTTAACTGCAAGAAAAATAAATTTAACCAAAAAAAAGAAAGAAATAAATTTTAATTAAAAATTAGAATAACCCAGTAATAATAACATTATTTTCTTCTCTTATTGACACCACTTTACAAAACAACCAAAAAGGGAGTGTGTATCCCAACATTCTTGTTACTGATATAGAATTCTTAATATGAAAATGGAGTCATGTAAACCCCCACACTCTTATCTTTATATAACAAGTAATCATTTCTTTGTGAAATGCTAATATTGTAAAACCCTGATAAATATATGAAATCATTTGTAATAGAACTCGTACCAACTATATTTGATGAACAAATTTATGTTGTATAAGTTTGAGTTGGTGTTGGAAGAGTTTGAAATGGATTGGAAATGAAAAGTCAGGCGTTCTGGGGCAATGTAACGGTATTGAGTACCGGTACTATGAACACCAGAAGTTAAAGTGTACCGATATTGTGTATCGGTACTGTCTGTTCTGGATCAGTTTTCATATAATTGTCATAACTTTGGATCCAATCATCCGATTGAGTTGAAATTTTGACACAATACATAGGACATCCAGATCTACAACTTTCATTTTTTGAACTTTGATAGATTGGAATTGGATCATGGTCAAAAAGGAGAAAAACTGAGGTACTGCCACCAAATGGTGTGTGTACTAGTTCCTAAGTTGCCAAGGCTTTGGGACTAAGTATTCTTTCCTTCAAATGTTATAAATGGACAATAATAGAGTATCAAGGATGGTATGTTGGACCTCAGATGGGTCAATTGATTTACACCTTTATTAAGAATGGTTCGGAGAAATAAAATAGTAATTTTAGTGTTTTGGGTGTAAATTATTTTAGTATAAAGATAAATCGTAAAACTAAATATTTTTAGATTAAAATAACATTAAAAATGAATCCAGAATGTCTAAAAACCTTAGGATAGTCATAGGGATCAAATTGGAGATATTTAATGGTAAAATCGAAATTTTGGAGAAAAATATAATTTTTGACCCTATGAACAATAAAATTCAGGATTAACTGGCTTTAAAACACCATTTCCATCCCATTCTCCTCCATTCTTTCACTCCACTCTCACCACAACTCTCTTAGAACCCTAGGGGAAGATTAGAGAAGAAAGAAAAGGGAGGAAGGAGGTCTCTAGAACTTGGGTTTTACTTGGAACCTTTGATTCAAGGTAGAGATTTCTCCTATTCTCTTACATTGAGGCTAGGGCTTATATATATGTATTATTTTGACTCTAAATCTTGTATGTATGCTATGAAATCTTTGATTCTTGATATTCAAATATTACCATGTTTTAAACAATATTTTGGTTGGATAACCACTAAATCTCTTTTCTTTCCTTCAAACCCTAGTTCTCAAGAATAATGAATTTTTCTCTTGATTTTTTCTTTATTCTTGATTTCAAAAATTTAGTGCTTTGTATTGAACAATAAAATTGTATTTATGATGATCTCTTGCATATTTTCATAACTTGTTTTATTGAAAGGATATATGAGAATTTGGGAATTTTGGATTTTGGTTTGTTATTTGAGAACTTGGTTGGATATTGTATCTCTTGTGGATATTTGGATAACCATGGGTGGCCGTTGACCAGGTATCGCAGAATGGGTAGATGCGTTTCTTATTTTGTGCGGGTTTGAATTTTTTCTACCACTCGTAGTGGGGTTGGTGTCTTGTGAGAATCAAACCACTATTCGTTCACGAGTACCGAAGATGAGGGTTAGTATATCATTCCTGGGTTGAATTCGTCACTATCATGAGTTGGCATACGCCTTTCCTAAAGTTGTGTATCCTTGAGAAGATTTGGGTGTGTGTGTATGGGCCAGGATATTCTCGATGTGTTTATTCATGTGAATCATGCATCATACCTGAGATATAGATATACATTGTTGATTATTATTTATTGTGCAAACGATGGATTGAGATCCATGGTGGTTATGGTTTATAGTGAAAATGGTGGTTGTGGAAATGACTTATTGTTGAAAATTGGTTTATTTCCTTATTTAATTTATTGCTATTGTATAAACTTGAGATCAAATTGCCCATGTTTTCTCTCAAAAGCTATGTCTATAATATTTGTAAAATGAGACAGACTGTTTTATATGTTTTCTAATCCTTGTTCGAGTTTGAGAGAATTTTTCTACAAAGTTTTGTGCTCACCCCCTACAAACAACATATTTTTCAGATTATGTGCTAGAGGAGGAGCATGAAGTTGAGGAACCAGGACATTGGGAAGTTCCACTAGACGGGCACGTGGATCCTGAGGCGGATGCCTAGGGTTATGCTCTCCTATGTGCTAGACTAGAAAATTCCTTTTGAGACTTGGTGAAGTCTAATATTTTGTTATTCCGTTGCAAGTTAAATTTGATTCTTTTGGGATGTAATTGTCATAGCTTGACATATTCTTTTGGATATTATGGTCATGGTTTGACATATTCTTTTGGGAAGATGTTGTAGATATTGTATATGATAAATGAAATTTTCTTATTTGATGGATTTTATTAGTTACTCTCATGATGTGAATGATATTTAGATAACAATGCCATCCAAGGTGACTTTTGGGGTGTTACAAGTCAACCAGTGCAACATTTCCTCAAGGTAGACAAAAAGATGTACAACAGACTTTCTTAATAAGTAAAATGATCAGAAAATCTACATTAAGGTAAAAAATGCACAGTTTATCAAAATGTCTATTACATAAATTTTCTCTATCAATCAAAATCATGTCAAAAAGTCATAATGCCCCTAATTTTCTATACAAATTACTAAAATAAGTACATGACAAAATTAAAGGACTTAAGCAAGATATCATGGTAGTTGGTTGAAAACAGAGGCTATCATCATGGCTATTGAAATCGGTGGCTTTGTTGGGCATTGTCTCTAAAGAAAGATGAACCTTATAAAAGTTTCAAGACCATAGGTAGTGGGATATATTCTGTAGAAGTCTAAACCAAAAGTTAAATAAACTATTATTTGATTAAAACTATTCATTCTAGAAGTTCAAGAGTTAGAAGTTAAATTTATTCTAGAAGTCTAAAAGTTAGAACTAAATGAAAAGTACGAAGATAGAGTTTAAATTTTTGTGGAGATAAAGTCATGGAGAATCGAAGGAGTCTTCTTGACTATAGGTATTTTAATGTAGAATAGAAGACGAGAATGAAAGAAAGTAACACTAATTTGACTTTATATAATTGTTTGAGAATAATGATTGTATTTTTTTTTTTTGGTTTAATAACCTTTTAGAAGTAGTATAAATAGATATAGATATATTGGTAATTATTGAATTTATAGGTTTCTTTAATGGTGCACATAATGTCAATTTTTTATGATTTAAGTCATAAGTGTCTTCATATATTTTTTTTAAAGACAAAATAGAAATTCAAAAGTTTTGTACATTTAGATGAAATTATTAGTGTGAGGTATAATTGTCCTTACATTTTGTTTAAGGGTAAATAGAAATTCAGAAGTTTTTCATTCAAGATATTTTTATTAGTAGTATAGATTCGTGAGAAGTAAACTCCAAAAGAACTAACTATTGTATATAATATTTCTTCCTCCCTTGAGCTCGAATCATTTCATGACTTCACTAATTAAATACTATGCCAAAACGGGGCTACATAAAAAAAGGGGGGAAACATATTTAGCAGTTCATTTTGAGTAGCATATGCTAAAAAGTAGA